CACACACACACACACACACACACACACACACACACACACACACAAATATCACTGACTGCCAACACTCAACACTGCAAAGATTACCTGTTGCTATGGCAATGAATTTCCCAACTGACTACCCCTTATGTATTTACAGTACATATGATAGAGAAGGGTTTTTTTTTACTCTCCCTTGAGATAAAATAGCAATGGCATCTCTTTTATAACTCTATACAGTTATTGTACTTTGTCACATTTATTTTAAGTATCATTAAATATAATATATTTACATGTAAAACCCTTGTGGAGGTTGTGCTTCCTAATTCAAAGGAGAGTTTTGAAGCTGTGTAACATTTAAGGGCTCTCAACAGTGTAAAAAAAAAATTTCAGTCCATGTCCAGGGCAACTAATTGCTCGACCACTTTTGGAATTGCAGTTACTACAAGTTTTTTATGGTTTGTTTTTTTTCCGACGGCAACTGAAAGCATCACAAAGCTTCCGCGCGCTCTGCTGCAGGCACACTCACTCCTCTCCACTCCCCATCACACAACACAGCAGACACGGTGGGAGCGAGACACACAAACGGACAGTGTGTGAGAGAGAGAGGGAGGGAGGGAGATAGACAGGCGCGAGAGAGTAGTAAGTCAAACGCAACTCAAAAGACCAGAGGACTGGTGGGACTTCTATTGCTGTTTCATTTGGGGATCCATACAGTTTACACAGGCAGTTCCATCAGAACTGGACTTTCTTTTATTGGACAAAGGTGCGCTCGGCTGTGCGCTCGGCTGTGGAGGACAGGCTGGATGCCATGGACCCGCTGTTGCCCGCAGACGCGGACGTGATGGAGCGAGAGGCAGACAAGGACGCGAGGAGGAAGATCCAGTTCTCCGTGCCTTCCTCCGTGCCCACCCAGCTGGACCCGCGACAGGTGGAGATGGTGAGAGCAAGGCCGTGTGTGGGTGTTCGTGCTCCTACATAGTGGCGTGTGGTGGTGTGCGTGGGCGAATGAGGTCAAACTTGGGCCATATAGCAAAACCCGTTACAGGATCACCAGTGCGTTAAAACATCTCATCACACCAAATTCCCTGACATAATCGGGTAAAAGGAATGATGCAAATGTTTCCTTCTAACTTTCAGCGGACTTTTTAAGTACACAAAATTGAGTGTTGGCCCTTTTTTTGTAGCATCACCCAGACAGTTATGTAACCAGTCTAGCACGACTTTGCAGAACTCTGTATTTTGATGGGTATAAATCTGTGGGGCAGCAGGGTGTGGGCATCACTGGGATTAAGCTGAGCTGTGTAGCCTGTTTTGGAGGCCTTAAAAGTGATGAGGCATCGCTGCCCTTCAAAAGGAGTGGAGGAGGAGGAGGAAGTGAGGGATAAAGCCCCTTTAGTTATATTAAAAATGAGATTATGTGCCTGAGTAATAATGCTCCTACCACATATGTGAAACAAAATATAGAAGGTCACATCGTTAGTCATGGAGGTTGTGAGATATGTAAACATAAATAAAGCCGTTATCTGACACTTATGCTGAACCAATCCAAAACAAATGCTGTTGAAACATGCTGACATGGTGAGAAAGAAACTATGTTGGTGAAATAGTGCAGTGTAAACAGCAATAATGTTGACCTGTGCAGGATGGATGCAGACCAGCATTTAGTCCGGCAAAGACGGCCCATCAAGGTAACACTGAGATACCATTTGGATGCAATTCCCCCAGGAAATGACAACCAAGTGATGCTTTAAGTTAATCCATCTCTTCCGCTTCATGTCTTAAATCGCAGACTTCTCCTGATATCGGGAAATAATGTTGGATACCAGATGCAATATCCTCAGAGCCTCCCAAGTTTCTGAGATTTCATGGGGCATCTAAAAATAGGCTAATGAATCAATAATAGCTATCGGCACTCAGACATTTCTCACACATCTGTTATTTACAGCCCAACTTGCACTCCCTTTGACTTTGGACTACTTCGTGTCTGGGGTGACTGTGGCTCATTGGTAAAGCAGGGTCGTCCTTCAATCAGAGGATCGGCGGTACGATCCCCATGCAGCTCCGCTACTCCATATCGACGACTAACCCCAACTTGCTCCCCGGTGGCTGTTCCTGCGGTGTACGAATGGGTATGAATGTTTAGATAGTCCTGATGGGCAGGTGGCACCTTGCATGGTAGCTCCTGCCATCAGTGAATGAATGCCTGTGAATGATGACATGTAGTGCTGAAGCGCTTTGAGTGGTCCTGAAGACTAGAAAAGTAGAGTCCTTTTACCATGTCTTCATTTGCTTTATTAAGCAACCCCACGTGCCACTTCTGAACACTATTTGGGTTAAACCAACTCTTACTGATATGTTAATTTAATTACTATTGTACTGTAATTTGTAACTGCACCGAAACAAACTATCAGGGAAAGTTTCACATTACTTGTGTTGCTCATTACGTCCATAGTGTTCAATTACTTTCCACATACACTTCGAACTGTGAATGTTCATTGACAGCATCAAGTGATCTGAGTCAGTTTTCTCTATAAGACGCTCTGGCATGTTGCTGTCTCCGGACCTAGTAAGATTACTGATAATCTTCCACCATGGATCTCATGGGAGTAAAAGCAGCATCGTTCCTTGGTAAAGCACGCAAAAGGTTCTTACGTCACAACACAGCTTAGGATACGTCTTCTTATAGCCACCAAAGCTAACTCTCCTTATAGGATCACCTGTTGCTGAAAATCCATTCAATTTGCTTTTTATTGTTTCTCTTTCTTATTTCCCAACGCACCATCGCAGTGCAGGCTGCATCTCTGGTGATTAGAAAAACTGACTCAGCTGTACTTGAGAGAGAGTCTGAATGCTGCAAACCACTACTCTCCTTAATGATTGACCGTGGCATGTTGCAGTTACTTCTGGGAAGTGGTTCTCATTACATTGACTTTGACAGTAGCTGATCAGGAGCATTTCTTGTTCACCTTTTTTTCCAAACAACACTGGAGATTTGACCTCACTTGCCACCTGTTCTGTAATCCACCACCGGCCTGCTCAGATATTCGGTTGGTTAATGAATTATTTACACAAGCCTGACCGCTCGAGAGTCTGCAAAGTTGCTGTTCTTCAAGGCCACTTTAAGTGCCAAGAAGGTTGTTGTTACATCAATAGCCTTCTCGTACAGCCCTGTGATGTTTGGTCAAGGGTATCTCATCCCTTTGTTATCTTTGTGAAAGGCTGACGCTGCTGCATATTCCCACTGACAGTGACTGAAACCTGTATGAGTTTCAATGGGAACAGCAGTATATGAGGGTAAGCCAAGTTGTTGATTGCAGCTTTTCCAAAACACAGCCATAAAATTAGCATTGAAAAGGCAAGAAGTAGCATGGGAAAACCGATAAGGTAGATAAGTAGAGAGAGAGGGAATTCAGAATGAATAGAACAAAGTGTTGAGAAGGACAAGAGGGAGGGGGAAAGAGAGAAAGATAACTGACAGAAGGCATACAAGAAAAGAGAAGAGAGAAAAATCATCGGCCAAGGAGAAGACTGATTAGAACCAAAGAGATTAGCTGTGGATGACTGAGGCCTGAATCAAGGTCAGCTAATGCCAAGAACCCATTTTCAGCAGCAGCACAACAGCTCTGAACTCCAGTAGGGTCTGATTCAACAAACCAAGCACACACATTATTCCTGTTGACAAAGAATAGGGCTGCACAGATAATCAAAATTTGATCGAAATCGCAGTAAATAAAGCCGCAGTAGGCACAATATTTGTTAAAGGGGAAACGCTTGCAATATCAGCCAAAATGATCTCGAAAAATATTTGTTTTCATTTTGTGTACATTTAGTGTGTGTGGCCCTCCCTACCATCCCGACAATGACTATCAAGTCCAGCTGTCTGGTTGATAAGGGTTGAAAATCAGATGTGAGATTTTTTAATCAACTCTAATCTATTTTTAGAAATACATCATTGGAAAACAAAAGGTCAAATGTCAATCGTGGCTTTCATTTGTCTTTTCTTGGACATCAAATCAAGCTCCACACAGGATTATTCAAAGCCTTGTATGAACACAGCAAGGGATTTATGCCTTCACTGCATGATCTTAATTGTTAAGTGGATATTTCTCTACTCTTTAGGACACTGTCCCCACCCAGTGCTGTCATTGTGCTTTATAAACATCCAGATTAATGCATCAAAGTTGAATGTACCATGAAGGTCATAGCCTGCCTATAATAAAGTGGAGGATTATTGATTTATGATGGGAGCACTATACCGAAGTCCTGTGCTGCTTTAATTCCTCTTTCTAGCAGTTTCTGTGGCAGTGAGGTTGTAGTTGCTGCATTTCAAATTTTTGCTGGATAGTTCTCAAAAACTGCATAAACACATCAGACGAGCACAGTTGGCGCAGTGTTTCCGTCCAGCTGTCCTCACTCTCACTGGCCGCGGTATGGTGTTGTGTGACTGGTTGCACCAAAATGAACTACTTGATATGCCTAACCCAGCTCTGTATAAAATGTATCCCTATAGCTCATTTCTACAATCCAGTTACATGCTGCTCACAAATACTGAGCTATATGATTATCCTCACATGTAGCCCATTCAAGCAGAAGACATCGACTAAGCTAAGAATCCAATCTACTAGCAGCTGTATATGCTGAGCAATTTGAATCAAATCAGTTGTGCGGTGCAGCTTCACTGAGCGACCACAGGTATTGCCTGGCATTTCAGACATGCACAACAGCAACCTGATGAAACTACTATGTTCCCTGTAGGTGCTTGACCTACTGGCAGCCATGTTAACAAAACACTCAGAAAAGGTCACTGTGTCTGAAAAGGCTCTGAAACACGTGTTTAACTTGTGGTTTGGTCCTTTGAATGCATTTGGTTTCGTGTGTGTCTGTCTATGTGTGTAAAACCCCCCAGTGTTTGTTAGAGTACTGCATTTAAATATTCATGTTGACACATTTTTAACCTCTAATTGGATGCCATGTAATTCCTATTTAAGTGTGTTCCCCCACAACGGGCAGCGTATTTCTTTCTAGTGCCTGAATGATGAATATGTATGAACGCAGAGTGAAGCAGAAGCAGTAAGTAAGTTACTCCAGAGTGAAAGCCGCCCACAAATCTTTTGCCTACACTCTCTGTTGTGATTGGCTTGGCAGCCACTTGTATTTCACAACAATCGTATTACCATAACACGTTAGAAAAGAGAGGGAGAGTGATGAATCTATTGTATATTTCATAACACTTAGTTATTGTTAACCAGAGAGGGAGGTGTTTTATTATGTATTGGCAACATGTGCTTAGAATGCAGAATGGCCCCAGTAGTGTTGGATCTACTATTAGTATTAATAATAATAATAATAATAATAATAATAATAATAATAATAACAAATGAGAGAATTGGGAAAAAAATAATAATAACAATGACATTAATTATATGCCACATTTAAACAAATTCACAATTCCTACAAAATGTCGCTATATTGGCCCATTATTATTGATGCATTAACATATAATGAGTACTTTAATGCTTATAGTTGGTTGGTAATTTAAACAAAACACCAATATGTTTAACTGTGAGCGACCCAGCACCAATCAGTGAAGGCACGAGGGTTGTTATTTGGCAGTACAATGCAAGATTGTTGAAGCCGACTTGCTTCTGATTGCAAAATAACAAATTGGACAGAAGAATTGAAAAAAAAACCTGAATGATTACGACCAAGTGATGGGAACATGCAGCGAAGCAGTAAACAAATTTAAATAATCCAGGCAGCCACCATGTATTACAACGTAATCCTTCAGGAACAATCTGGACAACCATCTTTTAAATGTTGTTACGCAATGATATGCATGTTCTCATTGCACAGAACAAAAGACTGCAAACATAATGCCAAGAACCACAAGGCTGAACAAAAGACTGTTGTCACACCTTGTTCCTCACAGGGCTGTCTGTGTTATGAGTTTGCTTAGCACACACATATATGGAAACATACACACATTCAGACATAGCATGGTTTGATAAACTCTCTCTTTCTCTTTGGTAAGATTCGACGTCGGAGGCCGACACCAGCCACACTCTTCAGACTGACAGACCCGCCATCACCAGAGGAAGAAATTGGCCCTCACCAGGTAGATCAGATGTTCTGTACTATTTGGTACTTTGAAATCCACCAAAAGAACTTAATCAAAGAGCAAAGGCTGGCTGGAGTCACTTACAATATTGCATCAAATTTCAATGATTTTAGAGGAGGAAGAGATGCCGATTGGTTTGCTGTCAATCGTTGCACCAGAAAAAGATTGACAAGTTTGTGTTTTGAGTAAGGGGTGTGAGTTTCTTCTTGATTGTTTAACCCTCTTTTTGTTATCAAGCTTTATATGCACAGTATGCACACAAAGTGAATGCTGCACTCTTTTTTTGTTCTGTGGGGGTTGTAGAAAGGCATTCTTGGAAAGGTTGTATATGTGCATTGGAGGCAGGAGTATATTAGGTGGGATGAGAGAGAAGAAATTCACCTGAGAGCCAATTCTGTATGTATCACGTGTGTGTGTGTGAGGCAATAGGCTTGAGGTCCAAAATGCAGACAAACACACATACCAGGCAAGAACATAGGATGAGGGGTAAATGTATGAAAGGCAGTGGTCAGGACCACTGACCACTGCCTTTCAGAGGCTTATTAATTGGCAGTCTGAACGGTCAAACAAATCCAAGAGGTCACGACAGATGAGCAGACCAGGGACACGTTAATGTAGAGGAACAAGTCACAATAAAGCAGTAACTGGGACAGATGGTTGGACGCAGAGGCGATGAGCAGCACTGACAACATGACAAACTGGCACAAGGACTGGGCTGATGAGATAATGAGAGGCAGATGTGTCAACAGGTGGAGATGATTTAGGAATATGAACAGGTGGGAGTCAGGTTACCAGGATTGGTGGGAAAGTTCAAGGGTGTCTGGTTGGACAGGTTGAGAATGGCAGGTCTGGGAAGTTTCTCAGAAATGGGTTAGGGTTTGACTTGCTACCATAGGAAAAGCACCAGTGTAAACAATGAAATGAATGATGGCTAAAGCTGTCTGGATTTCAGGTTCCTGGTATCGCGCATGCTCGCTCACTGTTACTCTCACTTTGAGCCCTTGAATAGAACAGAGCCATTGTTAGTGGTTGTTTTTGTGCTTTTCCTACTGTGACAAGTCAAAATGTGTGCTGTGAGAAAGGCCTACGCATGGGCCTTGGATAAGTAAGAAGTGTCTGGAGACAGGAACAGAGGGGCTGACAGCAAAATAAAAAAACAGCTGAGGTCGTGATAGTGTCTACACATCAGTATCTCAATATCATAAACGGCTGAATATCTAGGGGAGACTCCAAAACTATTTTTTTTCCGCTCTCCTTTGAATAGCCTGACAGTTAAATGCAATTTAGTTTCTTTTAGTTTTATTAGACATTTTCATCTATAAGAATGTCTCCTCTTTGCTGCCTTTCTACCATAATGCTACCAATTAAAAAATTACAAAAGCAGTTTATTATAATTTGGAATGTATCTGAGCCTACAACACTGTGGGCCAGTGTGGGATGTTTCCACTGACGCAGGACTAAACTGTAGTTATATTCGTTAATCCCATTGGATGCTTTGCTTCTGCAGTGGGTTCTGGGGGAAAATGGAGCCTTGAAAGCCAAACTGGTTAACACGTCAACCTACCAGCCCCCCTCACTAAAAGGTAAATGCACTGCCTTGAATATATTCTGTGTGTTTCATATATTTATTTCGATTTACGTAACAAATGACACAAGATGAAAGAATTTGGGAGACCTGATTCTTTTATGGTAACTCCCATTTGGTCTGTATTTGTTTTGGAATATATTCGTATCCAAAAAACACAGTGAGAGGCGTGTGTGTGTGTGTGTGTGTGTGTGTGTGTGTGTGTGTGTGTGTGTGTGTGTTATGCGAGATTAGAAGCAGAGACAGCTGTGAGTCCATTCTGGATCATCCTGGATTATAGGTTGGGCTCACAGCTGCAACATGGTTTTCACACACATACACAGATACAACCATCGTCACTCGATTATAAATACACACAAAAACATTACTATTTGATGTGAATATGTATATAATATATTCTGATCTATCTTCTGTTTTTTGTGGATTTGTCCCTTACGATCATTACTGTTGCTGCTTGAGATGTCTACATTGTTTGACTGAAAATGTATTGGTGTCATGCCTATATACATATGTACATAAACACCATATCTTCATTTCAGAAGTGAGAATACTAGATAATCACACACATGTTATCAACTTTAATTTCTCACCTTGCAGCAGTGATGTTCCGCTGTACTCCATGACTCCATGACATCACAGACAGGTGTGGTTACAGGTGCAACACAGCACTCCTTTGTGCTCCTTTATTCTATATTCAGTTTTGTATTTTCAGCTGTCCAGAGAATGGCGCTGGCCCACCTGGCCTCCCTGGACATGTCTTCTGTGGACAAAGATGAGCCCTCTTCTGGGGAGGAAGAGGAGGAACGTGAAAAGGAGAGCCATCAGACAGCCTCAGCTACAGGTGGGTCGAACACGACAGTCTTTCACATTAAGGCATTTATCTGTACATCTTATACTGTCATTTGTGCCCCACATAGACATTGCTTACACTTTTGAATTTGATTTCTTGTCAGATCTAAGGGTAGAAAGCAAACCTCTCAGGGAACAGTGTGCTCCACCGGACAGTTTGACAGGAAGTGCTGATCTGAGCCGTCACCACGAAGACAAAAAGAAGGCCAAAGAAAGCGAGGAAGAAAAGGGAGAATGACAAAAGAACAGGGCTCCGATGCAGACAAAATGTTAAGTGTGGGACAGACTTGCATGGCACCCATATGGCCAATGTGTGTGCGTGTATGGGTGCATGTATGAGTGTGTGTTATCTGGGTCTGTGAGCATGAGCGTGTGCATGCATGCGACAAATGAGTTAAATGTGGAAAAGAGAGAGGAAAACAGACATTGAGGAAGGTCAGAGTATTAATGAGGAAAACTTTAACCTGAGACCTGTGAAGGAAATCACGTCTCGGTCAGCCGAGGAAGCAAGAGCTAAATTCCAATCAGCCAAGGACACTGTACAAGAAATATGAGAACTGCAAAGAACTGTGACATTTTTCCGTGACTATGGGTGATTTTTCTTTTCGAGAAAACGATATCCATGTGTGAAGAATCAGATTATGAATCACCTTTATTCACACACATGGACAGGGAAAGTCACATGATGCTGGTGCTCAACCACATGTTTCAAAACCAATTAGAAAGAGCGGATGATGTACGCAGCTCAAGATAAGCCAGCATAAACACCATTTTATGCATATTGTAAATACATTTAACATTCTATTTCATCTGTAGTCTGATGGTCAAAGTGCAACTACGTTTGTGGGTCCTGATGAAGTTGTTGTTTTATAGTATTTCTCACACAGTTCAACCGCAGATTGTGAACAAGGTCCAGATGCAATTGCAGTACATACATTTTATTACATTAAATAGCATACTATAGTATGATAAGTATATAGGACACAGTAATGTCGCAGAGCCAATCCCTATTCGAATTTAACAATCCACCCTCTCAGTTTGCGTTCCTCAACCTCAATCATGTGTGCAAGGTCAAGGAAACCAGAGGATGTATTACAGACAATTTGAGCGCAGTCAAAGCCACAGCAGACCAGATTAAATCATATCAGACTAATCCAGCTAATAACGATAATGCACCACAGTTTCACCGGTTTGATAGAAACAGGCTTTTTGTAACACAGCGATTAGCAAGCAGGATCTGTTTTGGGAAGGGAGGGATGATCGGTGGGAACTGAAAGAGGACATATTTTTCCGATAACAATATATGTGATGAGTGTGAAGGTTAATTCTTGACCATGACCAGTATATAGATGATGTTTTGTGTTGGTTGCTAATCAAACAATTATAGTGTGCATTTGGTGTTTGTGTGATTGTATGTCAACTTAATCTGCTGGAATGTTGATGCCCCAATCATATTTATTTTCTAAGAAAAGAAAGACAAAATACTTTATTTGGCATTTCACATGGAGTCAGCATGTCATTTGGACATGTGGCAAAGTGGTGTTTGAATACAGCAAAACACAGTGAGTTTTATTAAATGAAAACTTTTCATGATCTTTATTCTTGTCCATTTGTGAACAGCCTTGGATGTAGACATGAATATGTGTGTTGTTTACCATGGTCAGCTGTGCTAAATCATGCATATACCTCTGCTTAATCAATAATAATTTCATCTGGATACTTCCCACTTAACTTTTACTCCTTTCTTGCTTTTGCAAAAAACACCCCAGACACATCATCGACCCCCACCCTCATGTCGTGAGGCAGTATGTAAACCTCCAGCCTGATCAGGGTGTAGCCGTTCTCCTTCAAACTAACACAGACCTGGGCCTCATTCAGTGGGACCACAGGGATCTTTACGCCAGGGCCCCCAAAATAATAACTCTCTCCCAGGGCTCCGATGAGCAGGAGGTGGCCACCGGGCCGCAGGAGACTCCCAATGTGGCCCAGGGCCCTGTTGAAGGCAGCCAAGTCGGGGCTGACGCACTCCAGACAGAAGCAGGACACGAGACAGTCGGCCCCCGCTGAAGGAAGGTCATCAAGGGCCAGAGGCTGAGGCCGGTGCACGTCTACGGGGACGACGTCCGTGATGACTTGACGGAGCTTGGCAGCTTTCTCTGTCCATGCTGAGGCCCTGAGACAATATCAACGAATCACCAAATTAGATAAAAAATAAAAAAACAATGAGAGACCCAGAATAAAACGTGTGACTCTTGAAAGCAGTTGACTGATTTTAGCATGAGGAAAGACAAAGGGAAGAAAGGAACTCCAAGTGAAAAGGTAACATTAGATTCTCATTACTCAGTAAACACAATAAAGAAAATTATTTTTTTTTCTGCAGGAAATACTGTACATTACAAATCTAAATGATTTCCTCATGAGGATTCTAGTCTAACAACCGCTATTCTTAGTAAGTGATAGTCAAAGCTGTGTCAAGTCCTCAAACAGAGTTAAAAGGGATCTGGTCGTACCGTCGTCCCTCCAGCTTACAGACGTGCTGCAGGTAAGGTGTCCAGTCCAGGCTGCTGCCTCCCTCGTCCCGGAGCCAGCCCCTCAGCTCCTGCCTGTTGACCTCCAGGAAATCTGTGAGGAGCACCTTGTTGAAAACCTCACAGCCACTCAGCACCTGGTACAGGGTGGGACCCGAACCTATGTCCACCAGCAGCTCGCCATTCACATCGCCTGGAAAGGTAAGTGCGAGGATAAGTAAGACAAGTGGAGATCTTTTAAATAGAATACCTTGATTAACATTCAGCTGCTATTCAGATACCTGAAAATGTTTGATGTGTTTTCGAAGGTGTGATTATGTATACGTTTGAACGCTCCAGCACTGGACATGTGCCAGTTCTATCTGGAACTACCCTTTAACAGTTATAGTATGACAACATGTTTAGAATATTAATAAAATGATTTTAGGAAAGAGTCCTTGGAATTTAAAGAAAGGTAACTTGCAATAAGAGAATATCATAGTAGGTTTTAATCAGGGATTATGTTTTACATTTTCATAGGCTATTTTTTATTGAGCATAGAGTGTTTGTTTTTTAATTCTACATGACCCACCACCCCGTCGCCTTACCTTCAGTGAAAGCTCTATGCAGGCATGCCAGTTTCCACGGCACAATGCTGTCCTTTCTTTCCAAATCTGCCCGTGGTGGAGTGTAGTTATATTGCAGATACGCTGCAGGATCAAATCCCTGGTAGCAGGCCGCCATGGCTGCCACTCCCTTCTCTGTTCCCTTTTCTTCCATCCTTGCACTAAGACCCGTGTTTAGTGGTTCAGCCTTCAGGTGCACTGCTACCCCATCAAACGCCTTATATACCTCTGTGAGTGTTTTTTTCATGTGCTTTGGGCTACCCTGAGTTTCCTGGGCGGAGATAGCAATCCTGTTTTTGGGCCTGTGTTGCTGCCTAATAGCTTTTGTTCTGTTCTCGTTCCCTGCCCTGAGGTGCTGATACCATCAGATCAGGGGGGCTTCCTCCAACACTGGACCCACTAATGGACTTTCAGGTCTTCCACCCACCTCTCAGAGGCCCGCCATATCTCAACAATCATTCTAAAGGGCCTTTTACACGCAAACAATAGACCAGTTTCTACTCAGGCAACCCTGTTTGAAAGACACAAACAAATTTGTCGCCATTTCCATGTCGCCATATTACCTTGATGATGTCTGAACAGAGCGCAGAGAGATGGGGAATGATGAGTAGTAGCAAGGGAAAGGAAAAGTCTCTCATGTTGACAGGCGATAGTAGATGATTACAAAATTAGAGGTTGTCGTGTGGCGCAGAGAGAAGCTGTTATTATATTGAGTGTCAAAAAATTGAAAAATATAAAAGGTTTCACTCAGTCCACCATATATATCTTTTTAGGAAAGACTTTTTCAATAGATCTGCAATTATTTCTTGGTGTAACTTCATTCACGCATTTTGGAGACAGATTAAACTTCAGGTTTATAGGATATTTAAATCCATAACCGTAATAAATTCAAGAAATGAAAGAGTCCTTTATGTGTCCATGCAAAGACAATTCAATCGACAGAGTAATATTCAGTAACTGCCTGCCATTAATACTGATATTCTTTGGGATTGGATGCCGGATCACAATTTAAACTTTTGTCCTGTTTTCTAACATCGACCTCCACAAAATGAGGAAGGGCTTATTTCTGGGGGAAAAAGACTTCGGCTGTTTGTACACTGATGCTTTACATTTAAGATTAATGTCAAACTTGACAGTTTAGGTCGGCTCTTCCAATACATTTAGTGACTCACACAACAAGTATTTTCAAATTATCCAAACTAAAAATGTCAACAAACGTATGTCACTTCTCTGTAGATGTTCAGTGTGGTTATTTTTGCGCCAGGGAATAGGACAAATCCTATTTATTGCTCAATTGAAATAACTTTGTGTATATTTTAAAACCACTAGCCACAGCGGCCAGCTGACTAAACAGTTGAGCTTCAACCCCTGATTGAATTAATTCTCCGTCTATTCCCAGCATATCCCAAAGCAACAGCTGAACTAATCTATGCCATGTTGTAATCAACTGTATTCTCCCCAGGAGTCTCTTAACACCTCGTTTATCCCTGGCAGCTGTACCAGAATCCTGAGTACACGCGCCCAAAAAACGTGACCCCCATCAGACATCCAAAACAATACAGTGTCCAGGGGACACAAGGTATTTTGGATTTGGAATTCTGCTAGGGGATCTAGTTAAAATAAGGATATTTGGAGATTACAATTAGAGTCAGACTTAGTAAAAGGTGTCACGATTTTTCTTTCCAGGAGAATGTGAACGCAAAGCCTATTAAATTCCATTTGTCATTGAGTTTATGTTTTTGGACGGAAATGTCATTGTTAAAGCTTCTAAATGTTCCCACTTGCAAAGACAAGGAAGTAATAAAACAATAGAATATTTAGGTTTTGTTGAAATATTGAATATTTTTATCAAGAACAAAAGTTTCAGCCCAGGAATCTTGGCAACTTGGCCATCTTCACCACAGTCTTCCTCTCACTCGTCTCTGACGCTCTTTGCTCTTGTGGTCGCACAACATTCTTCCTTCTGTACATGAGCTGGACTTTGTTGCACCTTCGGCCCCATGGCAGAGGGGTCTGAGACAAGCTGATGGGGTCGTCTGGTCAAGTGTGTTTTGGGATGTGGGTAATTCTTGCTGATGGCCCCCGAGAGGAATCTCTGGAGGAGCTTCCTGGCCTCCCATTGTTTTCCTGAGCGCTCTGCCTCCATCAATGTCCTAAGAGGGTCAGAAGCACAAACAACTGTACTTCGTTCTCAGCGTGTTGGTGAAGTGTCATTCAGTGTAAATGTGTGGCTCTTTCACTAACCTGTGGGGATGCTGTGGTACGAAGGTGAGGCTGTGCCAGTGAGCCATGTAGCTCTGTCCTGTCTGCCAGTCCTCCTCCAGGACGCTACACTCCAGTTCAGCTCTACCCGCACCACCCACACTGCACATCCCTTTCTGGATTGGATCCGTCTGAATAATAGAGGTCAGAAAATTGTACAGAGTGCTGCTGGTAATCATCTGTGGGCAGCAATAAAGCACCTCTAAAATGGATGTGACTCTGATCACTTTCCAGGATAATGTTGCTCCTGCTCACATTTAGTTTTCTATTTATTTATATATATTTTAATGTTCCTGCCTTGACTGTCTTTAGCTCTGCTATATATGCTTTTGATGTAAGGTTGTGTAAGGTGTCTTGTCTTATTTTAAGAGAATAATTGGTTGTAAATTGAGGACGTATTTCCCTTTCTGCCTCAATGAATGCAAATAATTCTCTGTTAGATTTTGTCCATTTGCACAAAATTAAATCTAGTCTAGAGGCTATGTTATGATGCTGACATTGTCATTGATTTATTGTAACAATAAAATGTTTTTTATTACATTATGTGTGATTCACATTTCATGTTATGAAAAGGAATATGTTTTAAAAAGTATTAAAAAGAAGACATTCTTTTAAAATATACAGTAATAAAAAATAAATTGTGACATTTTGAATAATAGATAGTAAAATGGTAATGCAACTTACTTTTTAAGCTGATCCTTTCTTCTAACAAACCTTCTTTCCGCTCACTTTTTATGCTGCTATTGTTCCGTTTGCTTCGAGCAATCTTTCCCTTTGAAGCGTGCCTAAAGTCAGAACCTTTCCACAGATAAATGTTGATCTTCAATGGAAACAGTTCAGCTTCTCTGATCTGCTTTTTCTCCAGTGGATAACTGGTGAGCTTGACTATGTGGGTTGAGTATTAGAGGGGTTATATAGTCGTGTATCTGCAGCTATTTTAGACTGGCTCTGCTACCACTGAGACATGTTGATATTAGAAACAATCAGCCCGTTTTCATTCCCCGGGAGTCAAATACCGAAGCTTTGTCACACTCTGCGTGGTCACATGGCACTCTTTAGTGTATGCATGAGACTCACTGGGCTCTTAAAACCCGTCCGAGTCCATTATTAGACGCTCAGAGAAAAAGCTCCAGTGTGATTACCTAATACATAACAACTTAACAATAAAGTACAGTAACACATCTACACAATACAAGTCATGTCTAAACACACCCGAATGGTCTTTCCAATTCATCCGGAGGGCAACATAATGTTGCTTCTTATATTCACGGCAGCAATCCATTCAAAAAAGTTTTTACGGAAGTGTTACTTTCAAAGTGATATTGTGATGTGTTGCAATCCGTTACAATGTTATGGTGATATTAGAGCACAGTATTAGTTAGTTTGTTAGAATATGATTCCTTCCTGATAAAACGTTACTCTCTTCTGTGAATGTTGTATTCATTTTGTTCATAGGTACATTTTTCTGTTGCATAATTGATATGTTTGTTTCAGGAGGAAAAATGTGTACTTCTACCAATAAATTGATCAAAATGAACGGACCAGCAATGAGTTAAAAGGTTGTGCAGATACAGACACACACAGACACGTATAGTTAGTGAATTAGTGGAGCCAGGAGTAAGGTAGGGGTCAGTTCCTTCCCATGAGTCGGATGGAAAGATAAAAGAGCAAAGGGGAGGAGGAACACAGAAGAAACAGATAAAGGGCAAGAGCGGACAACAGAGAGAAGAACAGGACATATATAATGGAATAACACACATTTAGCCAGAGCTACATGAGCCAATTTAGTTATCTATGGTCCTAGAGGCAGTGGGAGTCCGACAGTGTCAGCCAAATCTGGGCTACTTTTCATTTTGTCACAGCATGATGGTGCACGTACAGAAAACTTTCATCTCTACTGCGGCCCTGTGATTTCTCCACCACATGGTGCAAATGAAATGTGCACAAGTTAATGAAAGAACTAATTAGGACAGCTGGTTCCACTTTGTCCTCCTATTAGTTTCAGATTGATAAACTGAGAATATCTAGAACTTAAGAGAATTTTTGATTTTAAACTTTGGTGGCCCTATATATTTATACAAACTATGAAGTTAATTGTGTAAAAGCAATGTAGAATGTGTTATGCCAGCAACAATCATCAAACCCAGAATATGAGTATTGTGCCCGTTTAATATTGTTTGGTAATCTAGAGTCAGCATGCTAAATTACATTGTTTTTTATAAAACAATTAGCATTATAAAACGCAAACATTGTGTTTATAAATTCCACTTCACTGCAAAACATCACCAAATTTCTTTTCAATTTTCTTCCAAAATCTTACTGTATACTCATTAAAATGTGATGAGTATACATTAGGATTTTGGAATGATTAAATATAGATTTATTTGTTGATGTTTTACAGAATATACACGTGTTATATGTTAGAACCATAGACTGTATATAAAAAGGTTAGAACCTCAAATCTTGTGTTAGTGCTTTAGTTTGAAATGTGCGTCACTTCCGTTCGTGTTCCGCATTTCGCCGGCTGGCCCGACGTCACATCCTGCCACTTCACCGCCACTTTACGAGGCTTTTCTGTGTTCCAAACTTGATGTGCAACATTGTATCTTAACGATAATGCGACCATGAGTGATTACTCGTTGGCCTTCCGACTGTAGCGGGAAAACAATTTACAGACGCTGTGGCAACGGTCGTTACAAGCCGCAGTGGCAGTTTCATCAGCAGCCCTGTCACTCAGGGGAGGAGTCGTTCACATGCGAAGTCCACCTCTGTTGAAGTATTTCTGTGATAAATGATGGAATAACGGGTTCACGAAGATGAGAAGAACTCAATAGAAGACGTTGCTCAGGGGCCAGGGCAGGTACATAGCCCACACTGGGACTTCAGGAGGTTTTAAGTAAGAACAGAGCAATTATATTTTGACCTCGCATCAGGTTACAAGGGATGACTTTTTATGCTGCCATTTAGATACAACACCCACCTCTAATTTCTTGAATGTGTTTGATGCTTATATGTTGTGCATTTCTCACTCTGTATGTCTTTGTGATAGTATTAAACTATTAAACTGACCATGCTGCTGCGAAGGCTGACCCTGTGTTCAAGGATCCGACTGGATTACCAGAGACACGTATGCCGGTTGCTCACCAGACCCCTGACACAAGGCAAGTCATGCTGCAGTACCACATATCTATCTATCTATCTATCTATCTATCTATCTATCTATCTATCTATATATATATATCTATATATATATAGTGCATATTGGTCTCAATCATCCAGTAGTGTGGGTTACAGAAAATAAAAACTTGTTATTGCAGATCTTTAGATATAAAAAGAGGATTTTGTTCTAATATAAAGTCTCTGCTGCTAAATCGATTTCTAATAAAGTGACAGAATATTAAATTATTCTGATATGTGATTAATCATTGAAGTCATTTTTTCTTGTTTTTAGATTTTCAGGTTTGAGGATTTTCTGCCTTATTTGTTTTATGTAACAGTAAACTGAATTGTTTTTGGAGTGCTGTTTTACAAAACAAGCAATTTTAAGACATCACCTTCGGCTATAGCGACGTGTGATGAAAAATGTTCACTATTTTCTAACATTATACAAACCCAACAATTCATTGATGTTTTTAAAAATAATCAACAGATCAATAATACAATAATTGAAAGATGCAACCCTAGAATTAACAAGTTTTGATAATTTATCAAGCAGAAATACCAGATATTTACATTTACTTTCCTCTCCTTTCTATTACTGCAAATTAATAAATTGAAGTTTTGACTGTTTAATTTGAAACGGTATTGTGACGGGCTTTTTTTTTAATGTTTTCTGACACGACATAGTCTAAATGATTTATTAAGAAAATAACAGACATTTATTTACAATGAATATAATTAGATTCAGCTTTAATACGCTCTTGCTTGCAGATTCGAAAGCATCTTTCTACTGAAAGTGGACAAATAAGTTCATGATTGTGTCCATGACAACATAGTCAATATAGTATCTACAGGCAGATGTGATGAACGTCAGAAGTGCACCCAATAATAATCTGCTGTTGTAACTTACTGTGCAGACTTTGACTAGGATGTTGTGCCTGCAGGGACCAACTCTAGTCAGAACAAGATGTCACAGACCTCAACTCCCTCTGTCCCTCCCTCTGTCCCTCCCTCCCTCCCTCCCGCTTCATTGCCTCAGAGAGATGTGTACTGTCAGCACAGTCTTTTCTGCTTCCCCTGCTGATGTGGCGGTTTGAAGGCTGTGCTTATGTTTCCCAGGTTACAGATGACTCTAGAAGAGGGCTTTACTCTGTTTGTCTTAGTCATATCATCCATGAAAACCAGCAACACATGCCTGTTTGCACATGTATGTAATGATGGCAGTGTTTTGTGTGGAAAGGTTTATATCAATAAATAATAGGATATATGGATTGAACGTGCCGCCTACAGCAGTGCATTGATTTTATTCCTCTCATGACTTTACTTTTGGATTTAATTTTCAGTAGTTTTTTATGAATAAATGGATCTCCCAACTTAGTTCCCCATGTCTTTCAAGATTGATTAATTAATCACAATAGAATAGTTTGCCTCTGATTCTTCTCCTCACTGACTAGTGTGTCTTTCTCTATTCAGGCATCATTTCATTGTAGTTCAAAGTTACTTCTGAGTGATAAAACACTCTCTATCACAAGCAGTGTAAAAATAACATCTTCGCCCTCTGCACCTCTACGCAGCTCCCCAGGGGAGGGCCCACGGTAGCTCCTTTGCACATCGCGGTGAACTGCGTCAGGCCAAGAGGATCGTAGTGAAGCTCGGCAGTGCTGTGGTCACACGTGGCGATGAATGTGGCCTGGCACTGGGGAGGCTGGCATCCATTGTGGAGCAGGTAAGAGGCCAAACACCAGCACGAACTGCACTTAAATGTAGAATGTTATTGATGAGAAAGTAAATACAAGCTTTAACAGCATTCGTTTCGAGTTCTCTCTTCTACTTTTCCTTTACTACACATCTATGAGATGTATTGAAGTGCTGTAACCTTTCATTATTAGAAAAAGGAGCAGAAATCGTAATCACAACAAGACTATTTGAATGAATATATATATATATGAAAAGAAAATTCCGGACGGTTACAAACAAACATTTTCTCGCATATCTTCAGTGGTGTCCGGTTAAGCAGATACTTATAGTGTAGATATATTTCCAAGACGGTACAATAGGTACATTTACTTTTGTTGTCATTGAATAAAAAAAATGTACATTGTTATTGATGCTGTGAACAGTTTTCAAAAGGATTTTTAATGTGGTAGAAAGTAGTGTTTGTGGAAAGTCAGACCCATTTAATTTAAATTCTAAATGTAACTTTTCTTGATCACCAAAAGCATATTTCCATTCACCGCATTGTAATTGGTTAGAGGCAGAAATCTCAGGGACAGATATCTCAAATAACACCATGGCTAGTTACCATGAGGGGTAAGAAATAAATGTTTTAAAGCTGAATCCTCAGTGAGTCTGAACAGAGAAAACACAAAACAAGCTGTAGCCCCAGCTGTCGTGTGCAATTCCTAATTGGGTGTATCGTTGTCCAGGTGGCCATGCTGCAGAATCAAGGCAGGGAGATGATGATTGTCACCAGTGGAGCAGTGGCCTTTGGCAAGCAAAGATTAAGACACGAGATCCTGCTGTCCCAGAGTGTCCGACAGGCGCTGCACTCAGGAAACAATCAGCTCAAAGACATGGTAAGAGAAGGTGGAGAGAATGGGTTGAGGCTTAAGGTAATGTTAAAGTGTAAATCAACACTGAGTCAGATCATTTACTGAGAGAATCAATGTAACTACGTCTACTGCATTTCTGTTCAGTCTTTGCCAGTGCTGGAGGCCCGGGCCTGCGCTGCGGCGGGACAGAGTGGTCTGATGGCCCTGTACGAGGCCATGTTCACCCAATACAGCACTTGCACTGCACAGGTACTTCTATACTTCATAGGAAAATAATCCCTTTTTAGAATGCTGAAGATGTGTATGTATTATGCAGAGTGACATCTTTAAATCCGTCTCTCTCACTCGGTGCTCTTTGTTAATTCTGCCGTCAGGTCCTGGTGACAAATCTGGATTTCCACGATGACCAAAAGAGGCAGAATCTGAACAGCACGCTGCAGGAGCTGCTGCGTATGAACATCGTGCCCATCATCAACACCAATGACGCTGTGGTGCCCCCGCCGGAGCCCAACAGCGACCTGCAGGGGGTAAATGTGGGTACAGACAGCATGGGGTGACGGTGGTGACGGTGGCAGCGGGGATGCTGAAGTGGTTGGTAGAGATGTGTTCCTAATGTGTAGACAGTCACTGTTCATTAGCGGCAGTATTCTCTTTCATCCACACACACACACACACTGAAACCCTTCTGCCACCCGGAAATCACCTCATCAGCTCTGCCTTCACCCATTAAGGCATGTGCATGCAGGGAGGGTGTGTATGGCAGTGCATGCCATCACTTGGGGGGAGGTGCTGTCAGAAGGTATGGGACTAACTTCTGTACATGGACCCATCCTTTACCATGTCCTCCTGCAGAAATAACCAAACACTAAAAAATATCTAACGTATAACACGCCTGTCCTGCCTCTCTCTCTTTCTCATTACAAAATAGATGCCTTCTGGCAAAAAAAACCAACCACATGATCAACATCTAAAAAGGGTTTGCAAATAGCTTTCGGCCACGTCAACTTACGTGCTATACATAATAATTACCTTGTAAACTTGCATGGACTTGATGCAGTTTTTTTTTCCTGAGGTATTCAATGAATCATCCAGAAAAAAAGAACTGCACTGACATGAAAAGATTGACCTCTTGGTTTCTGATAATCTAACTTTTTCACTGTCAAAGGCTCAGATGGGTAAATGTCAGATGGCTGACTTTCTGTCTTCAGGAGCTGACATCAGCATTTTTCTTTGTTTGTTAAGGTGATCAGCATTAAGGACAACGACAGTCTGGCGGCGCGGCTAGCTGTAGAGATGAAGGCTGACCTCCTCATCGCGCTGTCTGACGTGGAAGGTATGTGCGTTACCACAACAACAGTCTGGGTCAGCTGTTAGGTAACAACACCATCTGTCCGCGCTCTTCACCGGAAAAAAAACAAACACCCCTCTCAGGGTCACATGAGAGTCATGTGAAAGAGACAAACACAGACCTTCTGCCTTCGTGTTTGAAATTGATGCTGATGGGGTTACCACAAGGTGTGTGTGTGCACACGAGTGTGTCATGAGCTGAGCAAGGGTCCGTTCAGTACCAATTGAGTAGATTTAGAAGGTTGACTGAGAATCATCAGTTTCATCAAATTTATTTATGCGTCAGTTAAATGCTGACACTAGTATAGAGTATATTTTACAGAAGTTGTAGGGTTATGCGTCTTGCCGCTTTGTGTATTTTAGACGCATGTGTGAGCAAATAAGTTGTGTAAGCACCGTTGATTTCTTAGGACTGTACAACAGCCCTCCTGGAACAGATAACGCTAAGCTCATTGACATGTTCTACCCTGGAGACGAGCAGTCCATCATCTATGGTACAAAGTCCAGAGTTGGAATTGGAGGCATGGAGGCCAAGGTATGTTAGAAGCACTCAATCACTTTGTTAAAAACTCTTTTTATTTACATTCAAGTCAAAAAGCCTCATCTGGGTGCAAAGCTTTTTATTCTAATGTTTAGAGGAAAAACATGTATTCCCAAGCTTGTTAATGAGAGATTTAAATTACAATACTTTATCAGTCACAGCAACATGCATCTTTTTTCACAATGACTACTTTTACTTTTGATATTTTAAGGACATTTTGATGTCAAAAATTCAGTATTTCTAGTTCAATATATTTTGAATGCAGGACTTTTACTTGTATTGGAATATTTTCACATTAAGAGAAGATACAAAAAAATACGTAAATGATGTTCTGCTTCTTTATGTAATGTATGTGGATGGTAACATATGGTTTTGACATTTATATTGAGATTGTAACGCATCCTTTTTAAAAAGTAAAGACTTGACGTAGAGACTTAAGAATAGTCTCTTTCTGTGTTTTTATTTGCAGGTCAAGGCTGCCCTGTGGGCCCTGCAAGGTGGCACCTCAGTGGTCATTGCAAATGGCACCCACCCCAAAGTAACGGGTCACGTCATCACTGACATTGTGGAGGGCAGGAAAGTGGGAACCTTCTTCTCTGAGATCAAACCTGCTGGTGAGTTCACCTGGGTTGCATGCTTTCCTTCTCACGTTAGTGTTGTTGCAGACATATTAAAGGTTCAATACAGCACAGCTTAATGGAGGTATGATTTGTTATAGGACTGTTGTATTAGACTACATTAGTTGTAGGTAGGTGTACCTAATAAGCTGGCTACTGAGTGTACTTTGAGTGAAGTCTGTCCCTGACCCTTAACCAGGTCCAACTGTGGAGCATCAGACAGAAATGGCACGAAGCTCTGGAAGAACCCTGGCGTCTCTGCACCCAGACCAGGTGCCACATTGTTTATTAGTAAAGATGTGTTTCTATTGTTATGAACAACAACATTTTTAAGGAGCTAAGCTTACCTTTTTATCAGAAACAGAGAAACACTGACCTCTTGTGGATGGATGTGCTGTATGCTCATCCTGCCTGCGTTTGGTTGACTGTGTTGTCAGAGGAGTGAGATCATCTGCAAGCTTGCGGAGCTGTTGACTGAAAAAAAGGAAGAGATTCTGACTGCTAACAAGACGGACATGGACCTGGCTGAAAATGCAGGTAACAGAGGTCCACATTGAGTCGGTTTGTCAGGTTTACAGAGGATGTGTTGTACCTGGCAAACTTTGAGCACTGTTTCAAGTTTTTAGAGCCCATAATATGTATTAAGTATGTGGCATGAGCTAATAATTCCTTTGCAGAGGAAAGGCTGGTATTTTCGGGCCTTAGAAATATAAGCTCATGTACCTATCTTATCAAAATAATCAAATCTAATTATAATCATGATATTGCAACTTAAACTTACCTCAGAGATCATTTTGTAAATGGGCAGTTGTATTTATATCTCTCCACCAGAGGGCGACTCTGTCATTTTATCCTTCTGTGGTTTGCCCTCAGTTAGTGGAAGCCCATATCACCTGATAGCAAAGTGCAACCTTGCTCTCCCTCCTCTCTACAGGCCATTTGCCACCAGCCATGCTAAAGCGCCTGAGTTTGTCACCAGCCAAACTTAACAGCTTGGCCATAGGTCTGCGCCAGATTGCTGTGGCTGCCCAGGACAGTGTGGGTCGCGTGCTGCGCAGGACCAGGGTGGCTCACAACCTGGAGCTGGAGCAGATAACTGTGCCCATTGGGGTACTCCTGGTCATCTTTGAGGCCCGACCTGACTGCCTGCCACAGGTATCCAGGCAAACGGATCCGGCAATTTGACTCTGTACTGGCAAATGCAAACAACATAGATATATAATATCACAAACCCTGTGTGTTTTTACCTCCCAGGTGTCAGCATTGGCTATAGCCAGTGGTAACGCCCTCTTGCTGAAGGGAGGCAAGGAAGCAGCCAACACCAACCGGGTCCTCCACCAGCTCACCCAGGAAGCCCTTTCCATGCACGGAGTCAGAGAGGCAGTGCAGCTGGTAAAATATGTTTCCTATGCATTTATTAATTACAAGGCAATACAAACCTTACATACAACACATTTGATGGACTGGGAGAACTCAGAAGTCTGGATGCAAGCTTGTACGGCACGTAGCTGCTGTGGTTGACATGTATTTGTTACAAGGTGAGCACTCGCGAGGAGGTGGAGGATCTATGCCGACTGGACAAGATGATCGACTTGATCATCCCTCGAGGTTCATCCCAGTTGGTTAGGAACATTCAGCGGGCTGCGAAGGGCATCCCGGTGCTGGGTCACAGCGAGGGAGTCTGCCACGTCTACGTTGATGGGGAAGCCAGCGTGGACAAAGTCATCAAAATTGGTCAGCATTTATAAATCTATTGAGTAACTGACGATCGCCTCTCGTGGAACAAGTGGTATTACAAGCAGATACAGGCCCGGGTTTAGCTGGTTAGCTTGCTAATTTCAGTAGATATCTCTGCAACAAAATGCATAGACGTCTTTAACATCGGGTCAACACCGTAACTTCTTCACATTCTGTTGATGGTATTTCTAACTAAAACTAACATACTATCTAATTTTCCCGTTCCAGTCAGAGACTCTAAGTGCGACTACCCGGCTGCATGTAATGCCATGGAAAGCCTGCTGATTCACAGGGACATCCTCAGGACGCCACTGTTTGACCAGATCGTTGACATGTTGCGCACTGAACGGGTAAAGCACCTTACAAGCACTTTTACATGTCATCCAACATAAGATGAATGATAAAAAGAAAAGGACTTGTTATCTCATTTGTCATGTTTCTGTGTGGCGTCACTAGGTGAAGATTCATGCAGGCCCTCGGTTCGCCTCCTACCTGACGTTCAGCCCGTCGGAGGCAAAGTCCCTGCGGACAGAGTACGGTGACCTGGAGTGCTGCATTGAGGTGGTGGACAGCATGCAGGAGGCTGTGGACCATATTCACAAGTATGGCAGCTCCCACACCGACGTCGTCATCACAGAAAATGGTAGGTGGCCCAATGCGTTCGTTCTAGTATTTTCTCGCTGTGTCTCTCCTTTATTTTGCATTTTAAAATGGCAAAAATCTTCCATTATTATGGTCATATTGTACCTCAGCATGGTCTAAACAGCACTGGTTAGTCTCGGTCTATCTTGATTTATTCCTCTTCATGAAGGTGTCTGATATTCATCATCTTGATTCACCGTCGTCATTCATCTCACTTTCTGCCACAGGGACTAATGAGCAGTGACACTTTGTTGTCAAGATGAGTGCACAGCCTCCCTGTGTGACTCCAATGAAGGGGACAGAGCTCATTTAAAATGTAGAGCAGATGCTAAAACCCAGTTTACAAGAGTCCTCCCTGTCATAACTTTGGGTCGTGTAACAGTTTCAAAACATTTTTCGTCTTTTTAGGTGAGCCGTCACACCGCCTCTTTCTAATTCGTGTTGATTGAAACCTTTCTGTGCAGAGTCCTGAGTGTCTCCCGATTGTACAGGCTGTGGTCATATTGCTCGCTGACAGTGTTGAAGACCAACATATTGCCATTTTTATGTCTCGTTCATTTGTCGGGCAATTTTTGGGGATATCAAATATGCAGAATATTTTAAAGTCTCTTCAGGTCGATCAGATAAAAAGTGAGCAGCGTATGAAAAATTCAAGGCTGTGTTCCCAATCCCAGACTTTATCTTTTTTCTTTTAGCACAGACTGAAGCTACCCTTACAAAGTACGTACTGTTGCATTCTTTATGCATGCAATTGGGACATATTACTTTGTCATAACATTGCGCCTTGAACTTTGACCCTCTTGCTCATACATCCGTCATGTTGTCATTGCGGCTTCGATCGATGAGCTGTCGTCTGTCTGTGCTCGTATGCTGCGCAGAGGATTGTGGGACAGAATAGCCAGAAAAGCATGCGTACTGCAAAACGCCACCGCATGCAGCTACACTTCCTGGTATTTTTTGGCATTCTGCATTTGACATATCGTGTGTCGGGACATACTAAATCATTTTGTGGCATAATAAACAATATTGGAACACACCCAAAGTGTGCCGTTCACATTTCTACATTGAGGATTTTTCTCACCTGCAGTGGAGGATGTGCTGCTGCCATCTGGTGAGCACAGAAGGTACCTCAATGAATTCAAATGCACTCGATTGTTTGTCTCGGCGTCGGCTAATGTCAAAGAAGAGGGATTAAGATGAAGAATGGATACAATAAATAGCAAGACACAATAGATGCACTGGATAGAATATGGACATGGATAGTTAGGTAGGTGTAATAGATATCAGAGACACACTGGATAAGAGAGAGAGAGAGAGAGAGAGAGAGATAGATAGATAGATAAGAATATAAACTGTAGGTATATACGTAAGTATAGATAGATTTATTTGTGAATTGGAAGATAATCTGTGATGTAATCTAGAGAAAATCTGCAAAATTTCGACCTGATTTGATTCACTAATACAATATTTGCTGATGGATCTGAATGATCCGGATTCAACTTTAGTCATATAGCAACTCAATGGCACCATCACAATGAATAGTTGTCATATGTTTGTTAATGCCTGGAAGGGTCTAGCGATGCAAAGTTGTGACCTAGTCGCACCTATAAGCTGCCTTTCTCTTACAGAGGACACAGCTGAGCAGTTCCTGCAGCTGCTAGACAGCGCCTGTGTTTTCTGGAACGCAAGCTCCCGTTTCGCTGATGGCTACCGCTTTGGACTTGGTAAGTGTGGTGGTCTTATCACAATATCATTTATCATTTGTCCTTTGTTGCCTCTTTTTTTTCCTACATATTCTTACTTCTATTCAATTGTTGTTCACTCTCAAACAACTGCAGACCCAACAACACAAATGTTTAACATTCTCACTGGCTGTCTTTGTCTCTAGGAGCAGAGGTAGGTATTAGCACTGCACGTATCCATGCCCGAGGCCCCGTTGGGCTGGAGGGGCTGCTCACCACCAAGTGGGTCCTGAGAGGTGACGGGCACACAGCAGCTGACTTCTCTGAACAGGGTACCATGAAGTACCTCCATGAAAACCTGCCTGTCGTGCAACCTCTTGCTGGGCAGAGGGACAGCAACTAGCCCAGAGACTTTCGCAACACTCACTTGGTCGAAATGGTTTGCATTGCCCACCAGCAGCTCCCTCTGGGGTCTTGTTGCAGATAATGGCTGATGTCACTACTGTTTACACTTCAGACTGTCACTAAGAGTTTACAAATATTTTAAATTCTACCTCAGCTTGTGATTCTTTTATATGAGCTGGGTAAGTCACCCTAATAGGCTCCGGCAGGATGTATTATGTGGCAATCACAACACAATACTTCCCTAATAATAGATTAATTGGAGTACTGTGAGCGAGAATGAAGTTAACTAAGATTACATTCTTTGAGAATACATAATATTTATATATCAATATCAAAGGAAACTGAAGTGCTTGAAATTCTTCTTCTTCTAATAAGGCAATCTCAGGACTGACACTAATTCACAGAAACATTTCCTTCATTTCATCGTAATATGTGTATGAAAGTAATTCAAGTTCTTTATTGTTATATGCATCATGCAACAGAGAAGTCGAAGAATTCGCTCCCACCAACAATGTTCATTTAAATATGTATGGAAAGATAAACATGCAAGTGAAAGCAGGACTCTTTAAGACATGTACAACATTTACTTTCTTTGTCAATGTTATTGTGTAACTCTAATGTATCGTCAATGGTCAGCACAGTTGGTAATTCTCTGTAGCCCTTAAAAACACCGTATTATGATGATGGGCATGTTGTATCTTTATCTTAGATACATTTATTAGATATTGTATATCGTTCTCACAGAAAAAAGTTCCTGTTATATTTGTACATATTCTAAAACTGTAAGGCCTAATTTTATTTTATCTGATTGCATTAGCTCATTTCCTACTAGCTTCATGCTGATTCTACAGTAAGCGTGTTCTTTCTTTATGGAGCATCCCCTTTTGTCTTTTCTTGCTGTAATTTCAGATTTCATTTGTCTGAATGTGCAGGTATTCTTTAGCTGGTGTGATCTATATGTCATTTCAGACTTGGAACTAACGCTGCAACATATCAAGTTAGCATTTAATAGAAGACAATGTTGCTTTCTCTCAGTTTAACCAAATCCTGGTGTGTTATAGATTTAAGATTTTCTGTACTAAAACCTAATGACGCGATTAACATTTATACACAAGTATCAGACATTTACCAGTTTTGTTTTATAGCAATACAAGTTAGAATACTTGTATGTCTCCATTTTTTTTTTTTTTATTGTTACAAGTTGTGCTCATTTTTCCATGCTTTGCTGCTTTGCTGCTTGTTCATTTTGGCGCCCAAAGCCTCTGTCAGAGCAGGAACGGTAATTGACAAGCTGCCTCCTTCAAGCTGGAGGGGCAAATGCGACTGCTTTTAAATTAAGCTCTGTAACATTCCAGCCTCTGAGCGCCTGTCTGATGTCTTGCAATGCACACTTAACGATTGGTTTGGGTTGTATAATAGCAATATTGTAGAATAAAAAAGAAAAAAAAGAATATTTGGATATTTTTCTTACTTTCTTTGATTTTTGCATTTGAAATGTTAAGGATTTATATGCTCATCTTCATCTCTGTTGTGGCACTAGTCTTTTTACTTTAACAAAGAACACAAATTAATGGGGGAAAAAAAATCGTGCTGATCTGAAAAACAGATGTCTAAAAAGAGCCTTTTTAAAGTTGCCCATAGGGGAATTCGCATTGCTGGAAGTGGGGCAAGGAAGATGGAAGACAATACTATAGAGGTTTAATTATCCAGCCATCAGAAATGAAACGAGGGAGAAGGACAACTGAGACTAATAATGGAATCACAGGCTTATGTTCTGGGTTTCTTTCGTTCTCTTTCTTTTCTCCAGCATCTAAAGAATTCATTCTCTAAAACGCACTACTTACCCTTCAATCAGCTTCCCATCACCAAGTCCAAAGGGTTCAGAGATGAAGAGGGAGACAAAACTCGGATCTCGCTCTTTTTTTTTTTTTTTGTCCTTTTTATGTTTGAAGCGATTGAAAATATCGTCTAAATGACTTGAGGTAGAGAAGGAACAATCCAGGGACATTGAGTATTGCCTGTTTGATGCACAATGTGTTATAGAGCTGTATTTTATAATAATGCATCAAAGTTGTTTGCTCCAGTAACGCGAGCTATTCAGGATCACATGTGGATACCTAGTTGCTTTATTAACACCAGTTTTCTACTTAAGTAATAACGTGATACTGATGAGTGTTGTAATATGGAAGGCTTCCATTGTCAGGTTACTGACTGAAATTTCTGTATTATTTTAAGGTTGAGTAGTGGATTTTGCATTGAACTTATCATATACTGGCAATAAGCTGCGACCCTGTATGTAGGATTCTCAAAATTCCCAACTAAATTGTTCCCAAAGTGTCTCATACTCCAGGTTTGAATCCAAGTCAACAACTTATTTTACGTTTAACTGAACTTAGGACAGATTGCATTGATGCTGTAAGTAGAAAATGCAGTAGAACTAGTCGATTGTGCAACATGACTGTACTGAATATTTAAGCCAGGCTGTTTGCAAAGTTTTCAGGTTATTTGCTTTTGCAGGGTTGTAACCATACACTTTAAACCACCTGTTTTCTATAGATCTATGCAAGTCTAAAGTGCTTACTCCCTGAATTCAGTTAATATTTGGAGACACTGCCCCGTTATGATTTTAGATTAACTTCTATTTATGGCTGAGAACTCATCTCTTATCTGGCATTGCCCCCAGACCCCATCTGATCAGTTCCCATGTTGCACCCTGTTGATGTTGTCCACAGATATAAAAAGAGTGATGAGGCCGACAATCCTTTAATTGGACATTACTCAAGGCCAAAAGTCACATTTCTTGTTGTGCTTGATCTTAAGAGACACTCAAATGCACTCCCCACTGGGCTTAAATTTTTTTTGAATCAATAATTAATGGTCAAAGTTATTTATTCATCTTTGCCAATTACGCAGCGTCTAATTAACAATTTCAATAATTGATATTTATTTCTGAAAGGGTTCAGTATCTTGGGCTGATGAAAAATGCATGAGCAGGGATGCGGACTGGGTTTTGTTTTTTGTTCTGAGAGAGCTTGATGCTCCGGGCTAATACCAGACCACTTTGACTCCAACTCTTTGAGTTGGCACTGGCCCTGTGATGTGGATCTAATATGGGCATCTTTCATGGACCCAACGCGCTTACTCTGTACCATGTGATCTCATAAAGACTCCTACATGCTCATCCTCAGATACCCTTTTTTTTGGTCTTTAATATCGAACTTCAAAGAATAAGCTTCTGTTTCCTTGATATTTTTTCTTTGTGTATGTGGAATGACAATATCACGGCAAACTGTAGAAACTCTTGGTCTAGGACCTCGGTGGTTACATTTCGATCTAACTCTGTGGCCTGATGAAACTAAGTTCAATCACCATAAAGAGTAAAATATTCCTCAGATTTATGAAAAGTCATATCCCCCTGATCTTTTTATAGTGACAGCTGTAGTAGCCAATATAAAATTAACAAAGGCTCCCTTTAGTTGACTTTCATCAAGTTTTCTTTTATTGGGATTCCAGTGGGACAGGAGGTTGGGGACCGGCGAGGCAAACCATTTTGCTCTGGGACGACCAAAGCAAAAAATATCATCACTATTTATTGAGCATTGCTTGAGCACTGTGAGTTGGGGAGGAACTTCACCCAACAATGCAAAGCAACCCAACAAATCCAGAACCCAACATCAGACACACCAAAACCCGCCATCATTAAGATGTATGATTTTGGGTTAGGAGACCACGCTGAAACAGTGCTGGCATTAGGGGAACAAGAGGGAGGGATGTTTAACAGTGGGGCTCAATAAGGATAAAAAAAAGGAGCTGGGAATCAGTTGAGCTCAGTGATGCGTCTCAGAGAGCCGATGGTGGGGCTGTTGCTTCCCCACTCGCTGTGCCTCCTGTACTCTCCAGGACGCAAGAAGTACTGGCGTCCCCTGTAATTGGGGTGTTCATGCAGTATCCAGTAGCCCTCCATGACATTGACAGAGGAGATGTCACGGGTGTGGAAACGCTCGTTCAGATCCGGGCAGTCGTCCATTAGCTCCAGATTCTGACCTCCAAAGTCAGAGCGCTCAAAGATCTTCATCCTGTAGTTCCCATTATACTAGGGAGGAAATGATGATAATGTCATTTAACATAAGCATTTATATTACCACAGTAGAATAACTTGACAATTTGAAGTAATTGATAGACTAACTGATCCAATGACCCAGTCCATATTTTTCTTTTCCTCATAAAACACTTTTTTTAACTTCAATTATAGGTCAAGGTACAAAGAGGTGCTTTAAAATAGCCTCAGGTACTGGCACAGAGTGGTGAAAACAGTCGGACCAGGCTTGAGAACTAAATGATCTTAAACTGGCACATCTACAGAAAACCTTTAGTGAGAACATTGCTGCAAACAGGGTAGAGCATCAGTTACAACTCACAGGTGGCACCATGCGGCAGGAGCGGATGCAGTCATTGAAGCCTGCCCAGCGTTGGTAGTCGGGGTACTCGCCCTTGTGCAGCATGTACTGGTAGCCGCCATAATTGGGCTTTTCATAGGCCACCCAGCAACCGCTGTCCACTTTTATCGAGTTACAGCGGCTGAAGTGGTTTTGCATCTCAGGACAGTCACTGTTGCACTCATAGGGACGACCCTGGAAGTTCTTCTCTTCGTAGAAGATAACCTGCAAGTGAGGGACGGGTGGACGTTATCACCACGGGGTTATGTCAAAGACCAACTATTATTTGCATAGTTGTGTTTTCCAACTCTGCAGACTCTTCAACAAAGCTAACTTTTAGTTCTCATTTAGATTCATAACCATAACCATCTGGTATTCTGAGCCAGGTTTGCAAGTAAGCTTTGTCAAACAAAGTTCTTGTACAAAATAACTGCAAGTGCAATGCTCTACCAGAAGCAAAGTTTGATAAAATACTGAACAGCATGTGGTATATTTTAATGAAGAGAAAAAGAAATCTTGGCCCATTTTATTTAATTTTTTTACAGGAATTAGGACTCCAAGTTCAGTTGAATAATTGCAATGTTTACTATCCTCAACAGAAGACAAAGGCATAATTTAATTAAGTATAACTAAGTCTTATTGTGCAGTCAACATTTTATTTCTCCGATTCTTTGCCATTTCTAGCTTACTTTCCTGTATGAAAATATGGTAATTCTTCCCACACAAGGTTAAGTTATCACTCAGTGAAGGTCTTTCACATTTTATGTGACAAAAGGAAATTATTTTTGAGTGTTTCTATGCAGCTTATTTACCCTTTAGATGCAAATGATCAACATGCTACACATAACGCACAACATTCTAGTTGCTTTTACTGTATAGATTTTAAATTGCATGCTTACCTTGCCCATTGTAACTGTGTTAAGTTCAGTCCAGACCAGATGTCAGCCTGTACCGGACCTCTTTATAGACCCTGCTGGGATCAGGGCTTTGCAAATGTGAAACAAAGCTTTGTCGTGTCAGCACAGTAGGCTGTATAGACAGCAGAACTCTATACGACTGGTGAGCTGCAGCAGCCGCTTTGTCTCTGTCAAAGCCACGTCTGTCTATAGAAAATACTGTACAACTGCACTTTCTCAAAGGGCTACAATAAGAGTTGCAACATCTGCCTTTATTGGCATGAATGCCAGAAACCTACATGCAGACTGGGAAGATAGGCAGGGCAGCAAAAAGAAAAGGTCGGGTGTTTGTTTCAGTGGGTATTTGACAGTGACATAGATCATTGAGCAGCAACAGGCTTTTATCAGTTGAAGATGTTCACTAAGTATAAAGCAAATGTGCTACTTGGCCAAAGAGTCTCGTTGTACATCATTCTCATGTTTGCATAATACGTGGATTTGTTCAAAAATAAGCTCACGAAGCACATAGTTATTTGAAAATTAAGTTTTTAATTTGAGTTGCGCATGGATAGAGTTTACATGACAGTCCTCATCCTCCTGAATGAGCCCACCATGGGATTGTGGCAGCCCCAGTCACCACAGGCCCTGTACTCTCCGGGGCGCAGGAAATACTGGCGTCCCCTGTAGTTGGGGTGCTCATAGAAGATCCAGAAACCCTCCATGATGTTGCAGGAGTAAATATCACGGTAGCAGAAGCGATCGTACAGGTTAGGGCAGTCATCCATGAACTCCATTGTGTGTCCCATCATGTCAGGCCTGTTGTAGATCCTCATCTTGTAGGATCCTCTATACTGTGTGTGGAAGAAATCAGAGCACGATTATTATCATTCTTTTGGCGTGAACCTGGGAGAGCTCTTTGGTAGAGCTTTCAGCCCTGAGCTGATATCTGTAACTTTAAATTCAAGAGGGTACTTGTACACTTACTTACATACTTACTTGCTACGGATGAGAATGAGCACCAACTCTTTTGGAGCATGACAGAATTACATTTTTTTCCCCCTCACTTAACTGCCAGAAACACTCAATGTGACTAACAGAATTAGAATGAAGGCACCAAGTCTTATGGGGGGTGTATCATATTCCCTTTTAAAGGCTGACTGGGTCTCCTTGTGGGCCTTGCAACAGAGAATTTTATGCTCTGACCTGCCTGAGTTTCTGTTAATGACATCAAAAGGCCAGTGATTGACATTCATTTCTTTGATGCACAAGGTGAGTGGGGGGGGGGTGAGAGGACTACCGATCCCATCTGTCTGTTTGATTGACTTACAGGGGCGTACATCTGGCAGGAGCGTACACAGTTGTTGAAGCCCATCCAGCTGTGGTGGTCAGAGTACTCGCCAGGGCCAATAATGTACTGGTAACCCATGTAGTGAGGCTTCTCATAGGCCACCCAGTGACCACCGCTGACACGGATGGAGTTGCAGCAGTTGAAGTGCCTGAAGGTGTCCATGCAGTCGTTGCTGCACTCCCAGTGGCGGCCCTGGAAGTTGCGGCCTTCGTAGAAGATAATCTTGAAAAGGAGAGAGAAGCATAAATCACTCAGGTTAATGTTAGGTATATAGATCTACTAGTTGCAATACTCGTGAATGAACTGCAGGGGACACTGCTCTCCCTTGAACAAACTCAATTACTTTTTTATGAGTCCTACCTAGTGTATGAGCCTCTCCTGTCTGCTGAACACTTGTATGTTATTTTCAGAGCTTGACAGGTGAAAATCAAGGCAATTGAAACTATTGTTTCAGCTGACTTCTATTTAAAGAACTCATTATATGCTCGGCCAATCTGAACACATTCAACTTTGTTGTTACTGTCACACAAACACAATGAATCTGTCATATTTGGATACCATATCATTGCTGATCTCCATAGACGCTTTCCTTTTAATTAAACACCTATAAGTGTGTTTTTTCTCTCACAAATAAGTTGTCAAGAGTTAGCAGTCCATTCTATTTTTTTGTATCTAATATTTTTACTTGAATGAGGACTTTTTTGAGTGCCTCTCTTTGCCCATTGCTGCATTTTCTTTCGCTGTTACACTATCTGACACAAGTTCCCAAATCCTGCCATTTTCCTTCTCCACTTCTCCATCAAAAATGTTGCTATATTGCATGTGAGCTCATACCTTTCCCATGGTTGTAGGGCTGTGGATGTCTAGCGCACCATAGACCTAGACACACTTACAGGTCCTTTTATACTCTCCCACTGACGATGAGGCCTCTGACACGTCAGGGACTACAGTACTACTCTTTACCTTTTCAGATGCCAACTGCTGTTCCCTTTGTCTGGCAGCACACGGTTACTTTTTCTCCTGTCTGCTAGAGTTTACCTATAGAATTGACAACCCCCCCCCCCCCCCCTCCCACTCCCCAAAAACCAAAAACACAACTGCTATTCTGTGTTTGTATGACCCTTGGTCTTTCATGACCTGGTGATGCAGCCTTTTGAAATATCACACAAAGGCCCTTTAGGTACGTGGCCCCCCAACAACAAAGCTTTAAAAGTGTACATGGCGTGAGGTCATTTTTGGGGGCCATTCTCTAAACTAAAACTTAACCGTTTCAGGATTTCATTTCATATGTGGCTAGTGTGGAAATTTGGATGGTAGTTACTTTTCAGTCAGTCCCAGTTTAAGCGAGTTTGGATTGGTATGTTCCCTAAGTACGTACGGGTCACAATGTAATTGTTATTCAATTCCTGTTACAGGGAAGTGGTTTTGATACTGTGGACTGAGTCAAGCTTTTGTGTTGATGTAATCTACAGTGATATGTTGTCTCTTTTTGCTTCCATAGCCTGCAGTTGTACTATGATGCCAGACGAGACTGGTCTGTTTGCAGATGTACAGACAGAACTGTTCAGTGTGCGTGTGTTTGTGGGATATAAAAGGAGGGGTTTCGAGGCATCTGTGTGTTTGAGTCTTTGTATAAAATGATAGATGTTTGGACTTGAGTCTTTGGCTTGTAAGCATAGCCCAGAGCTGAAGGGGAAAAGGCCAGAAAGAGTTGCCGCCATGTATTGTGTTCCCAAAGCCCAGCTGATGCCAGAAAGGTCAGTCTCATCCTTTAGCCTTTCATCGGGATAAAGGGCTCGTGCCCTCTCTCCACTTTGTGTGCTTTTTTGCAGCTTCAACTGTGTAAAAAGGCAAATGGTTTCAGAAAGCACAATAGCCATTATGTTCCTGGGCAAAAACACTGCTACGGTGGAAGCGTATCCAGAGCCATATGATACTGTTTCGGTGTTAAGGAACAGCGTTGATAAGCTTTTGCTCCTTTGATCATTCATTGACTTGAAACTCTCATAGGCTTCAATAGCTTTCATGTTTGAAGCTGCACTCTTTTTCTGTGACATAAGTAGATCATTGATATCCTTTCATCACAGTGTGCAGCGTAATTGTGGCAGATTATCAGATGGGATGTTGTTTTTGTTTTTGTGAGTTTCTTGAGCGACTATTTACTCCGGCGGAAAGGTTTTATCAGAACATATAAGACACAAATGTGTAGATTTTCCTCATATGTTCATTCTTAGATTAATGGTTTCTTTCATCGGGCTAAATGTAAAACCTTTGTACTCCTGATGCAAGAGGGCAGCGGAATGACAGGGGAATCATACTCTGGCTGGATCGCACGTGTTCAAGCGCCGCATGGTGCGGAAGCAAGTGTTCACTTTTCTCAGGTGTCTTTGAGCGGGACTCTGCCTCCTCTAAGGCTGCTGCTCAGCCTGACCTCTGACCTCTGTATTCAGAGAAGCATAATGTAACAGAGGTGCAATACAGTGCCTAAACCAGGAATAAAACTGACTCATTGTCATTGTTCTTGTTTTCATCACTGAGGAACATCAGCTAACCCTAACTCATTAGTTGGGACCTTGGCTCTCTCCACGTCTCTGTGGCTTCCAGAGGGGAACCTTGTTTCACAGGCTCTCAAATGATCATCTTTAGCTGCGCTACAAGACATCTCCTCCCCACCCTGAAGGGAAAGTAACATCACAGAGGCCCTTGCCTGCTTTCTCGGTTCCCCCCGGAGGAGAAGAAAGCTACCCGCTGTGGAGCATTCCACTCTTCATCTCAGAATGATGGAAGAAAAGGAAAGGAGAGGGGAACAGAGTGGGGGGCTAGATTTGCAGCTCCATTGTGTCCGAGGATCTCATTGTGCAATCTGTGTAATCGCGTGGGAGATGACGACACTATTAGCCCGCAGAATGACTGTCAGTCGGGGACCTCGGTGATTGATGTGCACCCCACAGAGACTGGAGAAACTTTGACAGATAGCAGCCCCAGCACTAGTTAACTTGCAACCTTTTTCATCTCCCCGGCTTCCAAAAGAAACACCCCATCCGTGTAGCTGATACCTAATTAGAATGTGAATGTGCAATTCACTCAGTAAAACACATTTCAGGTCAGAGGAGACTTCTTTCAATTCAAAACAAATCATATTCCCTTAATCCAAACCATGGTCTCTCTGACCCTGCTATATACAATAAGTCTCACCCCTAAAATGTTGTAGGCAGAGATAGGAGAGCAGGCGTGCTTGCAGTGCCTCCAATGTGCTCTTTTTCTGAACAGTCATTACAGAAACACTGTGGTACTGAGGTGTAAACAAGGGGTCTATGCGAGTTTTGCTCCTGAGAACTGGCTAATCTGGTGCTGAAAATGTGGTATGATCGGAAAGCGCTTGCCAAAATGCCTCCCACGCCGGGAGTAGAATGAGGACCTCTCTTTTGCTGAGAGATCATCCTCTCCATTTTTTCTGTCAGGAAATCTCCAGGCATCCTCCCTCTCTTGTCACTGCCAGCGCGCAGGCTCTATCGGGATTGCCAGACGCAGGAGCCACTATGAGCCTGTGCCAGGGCCAGGATTTACCGCGATGCGTCTGATGTGCTCCATCTTTTTGCTGGGGGATAATTAAAAGAGGAAATGGTGTTGGAAGAACAGAGTGGAAAAAGCAGGAGGAGGGGGCTTGGACCGAGCAAATGGATGCAGC